AGTACACCAGAGAATTATAAGATTTATGAATTCCTATTACGGTAACTGGAATCAATGTAACACGATATTACGGTAATTGGAATCAATGTAACAATGTATTTGTAATTAAATCTTAAATGAATGACATCTGAAAATGTAAACATCGCTCATTTTCACTTATCACAAGTAGTATAGTACAATGTATTATCAGCCTGTTAATAAACTAATTTGGAAGTATTTAATAATTTTGTTCAAAAGCTCATAGAATGCAAATTTAAAAAATCGCAAGCGACGAAGAAGACACGATTTTAGGCCATTATTTTTGCCATCCCTAAAATGTTGCCTCCAGTGCGAATGCGTAAATCCGCCTCTGACCCCCTGCGTCGCGTAACTGGCCCGACAGATTAATCCCGACTCGTCTTTGAACACGTAGAAGTGAATTTAAGAGAGATTCCTGGCCCCCGCCAGAACTTCCGGAGCTTGCACTGGCTAGGGTGGTTCAGGGCATCTAATGCCATTGCGATGGCTCTGGCCGGAGGAACTAGGGTTCGAGTCGCGTCGGGAGAAGTTTTCAATATTAGCGAGATACCTAGGTCGGATTCATTTTCGTCTGAAGGAGAATTCTGGCAGGCAATTAGTCAGTCAGTTTACCGTGATTTCTACTATCAACACCAGGCAAATGCCGGAGAAGTATCCTAACAAACAGGCCTGCGCGCGATCTTTCCTTCCTCATCTCTGTTCTCCTTTATATCGCCTTAAACACACACACGCAAACACTAAACATCCAAACATGTCGAAAAACCATTCGGGAGCTTAAAGCGTGAGCCGGCTGGGGCGGTGGCCCTCTGTGGGAAGTGTGTGGATGCGAAAAAACCGTGAAGATCGTCGCCGAACCTCACCATCCAGCGGGGAAACACCGCCGCCACCTGTGATAAAAATTACCACTTCACTAAAGGGACTAATGACCACTGACTAGACCAGAAACACGAAAAAAGGATTTGAGGGTCCTCGATGCCGAAAAATTTGTTTTCTGCAAAAGTTTGTCACACATTTTCACCAAAATTGGCATTCCCCAATCCATCAAGGTGATATCGCGGCCCCTTGAATTTCAATTTTTTTTTAATTTTTGGGCGTTCTTTACAATTTTTTCTCAAAAATAGCTGTAACGTTTTTGATTAAACGTCCTCTGGTAATGCAAAGGAAGCTTAAACAAATGGCGCAGGTCTTAGGATCGTTGAAGTAACTGAATCTTCGAAAATTGCAAAGTTCAACTTTTTTCGGCTTCTCCTTACAACTATACTAATGAAGACAAATTTTTCTTATAAATAAAATCTGTTCTTCAAAATAAGATCTCCAAACGAGGACATTTAAACTTTTTGAAAATATTAATACTTTCATGTAATTTGACATGTTTAACACTAAGTTATTAAAAAATAGGTTGATTAAAACGGTTTAGCCGCTTGCGTTCATCACAGACAGATGTTTTGCCGTCAATCGATTTTTCAGTATCAAGGACCCACAAAGATGAATTCTCGCTACATCACGTGTTATAGGATTTTTTTCTTAACTTAGTTACTGGATTTATCCACCGTTTCGTTACCAGAGCCCTATAATAAGAGTTTTTGTGTTGAAAATTCGCCTTCTTTTCGCGCATCATTACATAACTTTCTCTTCTTAAGGAGTTCCTTCGTAAGCGAGAGAAAGTAAAAATGGGAGGAACACTTGATCATGTGACCATAAGGTGGACCCGCCTCTGTGATGAACAGACAATTACATCCGAGTTCTACATCCAACAGATTTAAGGCGAAAATAATAGAAGTTTACAGATTATAAGATTCAAAACAGATTTCTGCAACGCACTTGATAATCGTGCATAACTCCGAAACGATGCGTCTTAAACGTTAAATCAGGGTTTCGTGCCCCTATAGACAAATACACACATACCAACTTATTGGCAATCCAATCCGACAAATTCTATCGAGAGGAGACTAGTTGTTCAACTGAAATTGTTGTCGGGCTGTTGGTTGTTTCCGACCACACTACCGTCGAAAATCCTACCATACCACCCAATAAATTGTACATACTGATACTTACATTATACTCCGATTTATACACAGTGCCACGTCAAGGTCATGACCTGGAAGGAGTTCATCCAATCGGAAGATCTAATGCAAAATGGAAGTTATAACGAAGCTCCCGAATAGATGACAGTGTCCCCCTCTCCTTCCAACTCTTGACTTTAAAATGACACTATGTTTAAATCGGAGTTATTTGTAAGTAATGATAGTAATGTTGGGCCAACCTACAGTGATCCCAAACCTCGAAACGCTAGCCCAAATATGAAACCATTTTTAATTGGAAAGTTTTATGTTACTTCACGGGTTCAGAGATCTCTGATTACAAATATAAAGCCGAAATGTTGAGAATTATAATTAACGCAACACGTTTAAAAGTAATGTTTCATTTATAAATAGAAATTACAATACTAAAATAATCCATTATTAAACAGTATTAAAAACTCATTTATTTACACATGTGCCAGCAAAGTAGTTGTAGAGAGATGCAGCAACTGATGTTGAGCCAACCTACAGTAATCCCAGACCTCGAAACGCTGGCCCAAATGCGAAACCTTTTTTTAATTGTAAAGTTTTATGTTACTTAAAAGTTTATATATATATATATATATATATATATATATATATATATATATATATATATATATATATATATATATACTGATGTGATTTTGAAACGTAATTCGTAGTGTTATCATTAATTTTAGTAACCTGTGTGTAGTGAGGCCGGTGGGGTGTGAATTAGGAGGAGCTATCCGAACTATCACATACGAGTACATTTTACTTCTTCAAAATATTTCTTGATCGTGGAAAAGTATAGCACGTAGTGTACAACCGATTTGTTCGCATCGGGATTTTAATCCTTGTTTAACTTTTACATTGATAAGATACAGTTCTGCCCACAACAAAATAAGATTTTTTTAAAAAATATTTCTAGCAAACAAAACAAATAAGGTGGAAGGATCGGTATTCTTGTCTTAGTTAATAGACACCGACTCTGCCAAACAAAACTCATATAGCAGCATGCCACCGCCACCCGAAACCCAGAACGCCCACTCTTCCGGAAGTTTCCATTGCCTGGCATGCACCAGCTACGGGCGGACTCGCGATAATGCACGATGCGGCCCATTCCAAAAACAATTATCTTTCGTTTAAGCGGGCACATAAAAATAAATTCGTCTCCATCATTGCGCTGGTGGTATGCACAAATTAAACGAGTCGCAAGTTTAATACTTTCTGTCACATTTCCCGAGGTTGTTTTTTTCCACCCTAGAGCTCATAAAGGGCAGCTGCCACTGCTCGGCTACACTTGGTTAGCTTTCAAACTGAGCTATGAAGATGAATACAAAAGATGCGCTCCTTACCAGTAATATAATTCTGTGACCACAAGGGTAAGGTATCGTGAACATAAAAAAAATCTCTTGTAGTTTGGAATCATTGTGCCACAGCCCGACAACAGCATTTCAGTTTCCTCAGATTCCCGTCAAGCTCGCAGATGTTGCCTAGTCGAAATTCCGAGCACTATACATGGGTTTTGACTTCTTGGTGCGTGAGAGCCTGTCTTCACGATGGAATATCTCGCATTTAGTGTCTTTCTCAGTCGTTCTGCTAGATGTTGAATGGCCGCGACGGTATCGAGCAGTGCTGGCGATCATGCGACATCTAGCGACACGACCGAGAAAAACACGAAATGCCGTGAGATATTCCTGTGTGAAGACAGGCCCTCACGGACCAAGAAATTAAAAAAAAAAAAAAGAATAATCGAGTATGGGGATGGGGATGGGTATGAACCAGAAAGTATGGGTCGGAAAGTGTGTTGCCGAGAGTCCAACTTCATGGCCCCGGCGGTAGGTCCGACAAATGGGCCCGGAGTAGGGCTCTAATGAAACACGAGTTTTGTGAGTACAGGTGATGTCTGCGGAATACGACTTCTATTCATTTATGTAATTTACCTATAACAAAACAGTTAAAAACTGTGTGACGTACTATGAGGGGAGAGTATTTTCCGTGCTCTTTATCTTAAATTCTGGGATATCTATCTTAACTCATATACAAGTTGAATTATGAAAACAGATGGAAAGTGCGTTTTTGGTCAGAATAGATAAGAAAAAATTCGCTCTCGCGTAATAAAAACTATTTGCGAAAGTAAATCAGCTACAAATTTAATCTATTATATCTTATCGTGCCTTTGTGAATAAAACGTGGGATTTGGCGCAGGGGCATGAAGGAAAATGAAGGGACAGGTGTGAGATGGGTGAATGATAGGTGGGGGCCATGTACGAAATGAAGTAGGACAGAGGGGCTCGAATCGTTTGGTAAGCAGTGTTCCTCAAAAATGATACCTTTTTGAACTTTCTACTATGGTTTAGTTCTTTTGTGTATTCCAACTTCATAGCACGGCTGCTCAGAAAAGTGCAGAAGTCCTAAATCTATTTAAAATTCAATTGAATATAAAACAATATTACACAATAAAGTTAAAGAGAACATTTATCTCTCTTTGGAATTTAATCTAAATGCTTACCAAAATTAATATTATTATTATCGCACAGTACCATGCCTATAAAGCTTTAAATAACAGTTCTAAGTTTGATTCTACTACAAAGCAATCTTCACTTTTAAAACTGATATATTTACAAAGTGCAGAGTGTTTGCATAGGGCCAGATATTTGTTTTTAATACATTTTTAATATTTCAAATATGTTCTTTGTTCTTAGTCTCTTCCTCATGTTATGTTTTCTTTTTTAACGGGATTCGTTACATTTACTCACATTTGTCCCCTAACTCTCATTTGGGCTACTTCTTTCTTTTTGTCCATTTTAGAACCTGCACTTCACTATCATACTGTATTACATTAAAGTATAAGTTGTCGAAATTAAACTGTATGTTCTTACCAGTCATAGAAATTAGTTTGTATATTCACAAATGTATTCTTTTCTTTTCTTACAGACACCTCCATATGTTTTGGAATATGAACAAAGAATGTTGAGAAAAGATGTGCATGTCCGATTTCATTCATCAAATCAAGAAAGTGATCAAATTCGCACGTACTTATGGCCTGCTTTACTTGAGGGAACTGGTGGGCCGTGTGTTCACAAAGCTGTGGTAATCACATGATTTTGGCTTATATCTATACAGATACTTTGGTTTATGGAAATTGCTATATTATATCACATTTTACAACAGTTTAACAAGAATTTTCTGATACCCACCGATCTGAGAGATGATTTTTGATATGTTACTTCTTCAATAAATTGCCACATTTCAATGTTTAAAGTAGAGAAGTCATGTTTTACAAATATATGTATTTTGCCCATATTTATTAGTTGAATATAATAATGGCAGTACAGTATTTATGGAATATAAATTCCTTGATTGTTATTTTGTGTAAATAAGTTGAGAATATATATATTTGGTTGTGTAAACTTTAAACTTATACACATGTGATATTTAAATATTACCTTACTATTTTTGTTGGATTGTTCCCAGAAGAGAATGGTTTCAATTTATCATTTTTAAATGAAATATATTGACCAATAAATGAAGCATTCACTTCTTTTCTTTGATTTTGTTTTTTCTTAGTGTTATTAGAGCTGAGAAACAAACATTATTCAAGTTGTGCTTCACTCAGTAGATATAAGTTCCCTAATGTCATAGAGCCATGTAATGGTATTGTATAAATATTAACAAATCAATGTATAATATTTGCTTGTACATTATTTCCATTTGTATAATATTACTGTAAGATAAATAATATTATTCGAACTACTATTAAATTGTTATTAAGTTAGAGAAAGAAGAAATTAAATAAAAAAATCAGCAATTGTTCTAACCAGTAGGCCATTATATATGTGACAAATGTAAAAAGAAATTCTAAGAAAAAAAAATCAAGTTTAAATTACCTGTAATATAACATCTGAATAAATTTTCGCTTGGTCTGCCTTCCCTTGTTTTAATACTACTTAAGTAACCAAATAAAAAATGTAATTGATATGAATAGTGACGTGATTTTCAGAAAACAAACAAAAGAATACAAAAGTATCTCAAACTTATTTCTTCAGAGATGAAGAGTCTATTGTCTCATTCTTAAAACACTTCTCAAGTGCACAAATATTTCTTGCAAACTCTACCTATGGCAAGCAAGCATGGAAGAAATCAGGACCGGATTTAGAAGTATTGTGGAGAGAGCCCCTGAGTAAAAATGCGATGGAGGACTCTTTCGTGAGGAAATCTCAAGATCAAAACGATTTAAACCAATTTAAGTAATGGGACGCAGTACTGAAGGGGCTGTGGCACCGGACACAGTTCACGCCCTCCCTCTCCCTCCCCCCCTCTCTCTCGCTCTCTCTCGCTCTCTCTCTCTCGCTCTCGCTCTCTCTCGCTCTCTCTCTCGCGCTCTCTCTCGCGCTCTCTCTCGCTCTCTCTCTCGCTCTCGCTCGCTCTCTCTCGCTCTCTCTCTCTCTCACACACCCACACACGACGCACAAATCTGACCACCTCTTTAGATTTAGATTTACTTAGTCAAAAACAGTAAAAGCTCTATGTGACGATTATTAGATTTAGATTTACTTAGTCAAAAAACAGTAAAAGCTCTATGTGACGAAGAACTTCCTCCTGGAACTGCCCTTTCCTTCCAAAACATCCTTTGGAGTTCCTTGTTTAGGGCGCCACCTATCGGCCAACATTGTTACTATCTTCACCCAATCCTAAACAAATCTATCTCAAAGGTACCCTAAACAAATCTATCTCAAAGGTACTATTAATAGGCACTCCTCCCTTTGACTTCAGTAAACCCTCTCACTACCATTCCCACTTATATTTATGAAGTTTTGGTAATCAAATAATACATATATTTAACTATATTAACAGGAGGCTGTTCCACAGACGATCGTTTTGGGGGAGGGGGATTTACATATGTCTTCATATATAAACACAAACACAATATACGTTATAGGCAACGTAAATTATTTATCAATAAATGCTTTTAATATTTAATGAATAATTTATGGTTTTAAATTAAAATTGGTAATAATTTGCTATTAAAATCGTTGAATTCGTTGAGCTGCAAAACGACGAAGAACTATGGAATTATATTTTTCATTCTATGATACAGCTAGAATTTAAATATAAACGCATGATGTCTATTTACAAATTAAATATTAGCTTACTTATAAACATTACTGCCGTCTGGCAGGCCCGTTTTAACAGCTTTGGGGGTCCCTTATTCTTACTTTCACGAACCCCCTCGTTTTAAGGACTAGTTTTCTTCAAAAATACTTAAATTCTCATCACAGAGTGACATTCACACATCAAGTAGTCCTCTTCTTCATCTTCTTACAAAATCGAAGACTTGTTCCTCTCCAAGAATTATGACGTGTCTTTCCATCTTCTCCTTGGTCTGCCAACATCTCTTCGTCCCCTCCGACTTTCATCTCTAGTAATCCTCACGATTATTTTTTCCTCCATTATCTCAATATGAGCGTTCCATTCCTTTCTTCAGACTGCTATCCATTCCGTAATGGGCTTAACTTTGCACTCCTCCCTGATGTCTCTGTTTATTTCCTTATCCAGTAGAGTGAGATATGTAATTTTTCTCAGAACTCTCATTTCGGCGACCTGAAGTTGTTGTTAGATACGTTTCGTTTCGCTTCTTGTTTCTCCTGCATATGTTAATATGGTCCAATTATTGACTGATAATTTCTAACCTTTGAATCCTGTTTTACATGCTTATTATGCGATGTTAAGTAGTTGAGACAGGCAGCGATCCTAATACCCTTTATTATTTGCTCTTTGATTTGTTTCTCCGTTTATCCTGAGCTCGTTTACGTTATTCCCAAATACTTCATCTCTAGAACTAATTCTATTATTTGATTATCCACTATGAATTTACACCTAATTGGATTTTTAGCCATTGTCATAGCTTTCGTCTTCTGGATAGATATTTGTAAATTAAAAACCTTACAAAGTTTACTGAATTCGTACAGTAATCATTGTAAGTCGTCTTTATTTTCTTCTATTAGCAATGTGTCACTCGGCTACATTGGTGGCCGGTGGGATGTGAATTAGGAGGGGCTAACCGAACTGTCACATTCATTTTACTTCCTCAAAATATTTCTTGAACGAGGAAAACTATAGTATGTAGTGTACAACCGATTTGTTCGTATTGGGATTTTAATCCGTGTATAACTTTAACGTTCTGCCCACAACAAAATAAGATTTTTTTAAAAAATATTTCCAGCAAACAAAACAAATAAGGTGGAAGGATCGGTATTCTTGTCTTAGTTAATAGACACCGACTCTGCCAAACAAAACTCATATAGCAGCATGCACCGCCACCCGAAACCCAGAACGCCCACTCTTCGGAAGTTTCCATTGCCTGGCATGCACCAGCTACGGGCGGACTCGCGATAATGCACGATGCGGCAAAAATTTCAGGCACGATGTTTGTTTCCGAAACTTTTTCCTATTAAATTCTCAAAATAACCGGTAGAGTAAAAAATTAATTTTCGGCTTGTTAAGATGAATTTCCGAATTGTTTGTTAAAGGTTTGCGCGCCCGCCATTATACACCTGTTAAGTCACATATTTAATGTATCCTTATACGCAGGAATTTTTCCAGATATTTTTAAAACAGGTAAGATTAAGCCGCTTTTCAAAAAAGGCAACAAAAATGAAATTCAAAATTATCATCCAATTTCTCTTTTGTTGTTTTTTTCAAATATATTAGAGACTTTTTTAAGTATGAATGGGAGCATTTTTTAGTAAACACGGCGCGTTTTCATAATGGCCATTATGGGTTTCGAAAATAAAAATCTACGGAAACAGCCATATTTTCTTTTCTTAAAGATGTCTCATCCATGGATCAAAACGAAGCACCTATTGGAATATTTTTAGATCTTGCAAAAGCTTTTGACGTCATTGATCATAACATTTACTCTCAAAATTACTTTCGTATGGAATTCGTGGTGTAGCTCTAGACTGGTTATGTTCGAATCTTAAACAACGATCTCAGAGAGTAGAAATACCTTACTGAAACAATGGAACATTATGTACACACCTTTCTGATTCTTTGCCAATTGCATGTGGATTTCCGCAGGGATCGATTTTAGGTCCTCTTCCTACGATACTAAACGATATGCCCTCGACGATTAGGAACGGAAGAACAGTTCTCTTTGCGGATGATACGAATATTCTTTGCAATAAAGAAACCGTAAATCAGATATTTCAAATGGGTTCCGTAATAACAAATTAATAGTAAATGAAAATAAAACTATTTCAATGCATTTCTCCATTACAAACAGCTCGGCACTTCACCGAAAATGAATGGCGTGTCATCGACTGATGTTATGGTAACTACATTTTTAGGTATTCCATTCAGTCAAACCTTGAAGGAAAGTACATTTAAATGAATTGAACACTAAATTAAGATATTTATGCTATGCTTTCAGGATTCTTTCAAATTCAGTCAACCTCCATTCTGCTCGTTGAGTATATTTCGCGAATGTTCATTCTCGCCTGAGATACGGCATAATATTTTGAGGAAATACATCTTATAGCTCCAAGACTTTTAGATTACAAAAAATAATTGTTCGAATAATAAGCAAATCCTACCCACGTGAATCTTGTAAGCCTCTCTTTATTAATCTAGGTATTTTACCATTACCTTGTCTTCTCATATATGAATCAGTGTTTTTTGTCAAAAATGACTTAAGAGCGGGAATATATTTTCGGCAAACACCGTTGTCTATAACTACAACACTCGACATAGTAATCACATTCATCAGGTAACAGTATCAACAGCTCACTACAAAAAATTTTCATATAATACATGTACATTATTTTACACCGTTTTGTCAGATGACATTAAACGATTAAATTCGATACAAAAGTTTGTTCCAAGTATTTTTTTTTCTGCTGCACAACTGTTTCTATGCCATTAGAGACTATACCGAGTGTTTAAAAGGAAAGTAATATTTATTTTAACAATGACATTTAATGTATTATATATCATTTGTATTGTATAATAGTAAAAAACCTGTAACAACACATTATCTTCTGGGTCAATGACCCCATCTCAATCAGGTTTTCATCCAGTTTCCCTGATCCTCGATGAAATGCTGAGATGGTTCCTTGTTTTGCTTCTAGACATAATTGTAATTTCAAATTAACTTCCACCCTTAGCTCCTCACATACAGTTTTTAACTGTTTTTGATGTAAATAAATAAGTCGAGAGTCCCATTTCGTTGTCCCGACGGTTGGTATGTTGTGTTTAGAACCTTTTTTCTTTTTCCAGTAACATTTTCCTTTCCATTCCTCTTTTTCTATACATTTACTATACCATTCCTCTTCCTAATCTTCATGTTTTTTATTGCCAATTCTACCCTACATAAAGTGAGACTTTCAAAATGTTCAATGTCCAAAGCAATAGCAGTTCCATTAAAAATTTCCGTCATCTTTAGTTTACTTAATAAGACCTCTCGTCATAATGATTAAAATAATTACCCTTGCCAGATTAAAATTTTGAAATCTGATTACTTATCTTGTTAAAATTTCAATTTCTTGATCAATTTAACAATTTTAGAATTCTTGCAATTTTGTCTTGAAAAAATCTTTGATTTCTGTTTGTCGCACGCCAATCAAATATTCTGGTCACGTACTACAACCACTACTTTCTTTCAGAAAACTCAAAGTTTATGAAGAACTATCTACCGTACATATGCCGTTATGTTAGGCACGTTCCTCCGCTACTACCAATTTTACCACATGACTAGCGTCACAATCGTCAGCAATGCTAAAGTCAGACAAGGGCCAGCTGACTCTCAGTCAACTCTTCAGAAATGAATTTCTTTCTGAATAACAATCTTTATTATTTTCATCCTAGTATTTACATTTAGTACTAGGGTACTTTTAGAGCCCAAGGCCGCAATAC